GGTCACCACCATGATGTGTGGACACCATGATGTGTGGACACCATGATGTGTGGTCACCATGATGTGTGGTCACCACCATGATGTGTGGACACCATGATGTGTGGACACCATGATGTGTGGACACCATGATGTATGGACACCATGATGTGTGGTCACCATGATGTGTGGTCACCATGATGTGTGGACACCATGATGTGTGGACACCATGATGTGTGGTCACCACCATGATGTGTGGACACCATGATGTGTGGACACCATGATGTGTGGACACCATGATGTGTGGTCACCATGATGTGTGGTCACCATGATGTGTGGACACCATGATGTATGGACACCATGATGTATGGACACCATGATGTGTGGACACCATGATGTGTGGACACCATGATGTGTGGACACCATGATGTGTGGACACCATGATGTGTGGACACCATGATGTGTGGTCACCATGATGTGTGGACACCATGATGTGTGGACACCATGATGTGTGGACCCCATGATGTGTGGTCACCAAGATGTGTGGTCACCATGATGTGTGGTCACCATGATGTGTGGACACCATGATGTGTGGACACCATGATGTGTGGACACCATGATGTGTGGACACCATGATGTGTGGACACCATGATGTGTGGACACCATGATGTGTGGTCACCATGATGTGTGGACACCATGATGTGTGGTCACCATGATGTGTGGTCACCATGATGTGTGGTCACCATGATGTGTGGACACCATGATGTGTGGACACCATGATGTATGGACACCATGATGTGTGGACACCATGATGAGTGGTCACCATGATGTGTGGACACCATGATGTGTGGTCACCATGATGTGTGGTCACCATGATGTATGGACACCATGATGTGTGGACACCATGATGTGTGGACACCATGATGTGTGGACACCATGATGTGTGGACACCATGATGTGTGGACACCATGATGTGTGGTCACCATGATGTGTGGTCACCATAATGTATGGACACCATGATGTATGGACACCATGATGTATGGACACCATGATGTGTGGACACCATGATGTGTGGTCACCATAATGTGTGGACACCATGATGTGTGGTCACCATGATGTGTGGACACCATGATGTGTGGACACCATGATGTGTGGTCACCATGATGTGTGGACACCATGATGTGTGGACACCATGATGTGTGGACACCATGATGTGTGGTCACCATGATGTGTGGTCACCATAATGTATGGACACCATGATGTATGGACACCATGATGTATGGACACCATGATGTGTGGACACCATGATGTGTGGTCACCATAATGTGTGGACACCATGATGTGTGGTCACCATGATGTGTGGACACCATGATGTGTGGACACCATGATGTGTGGTCACCATGATGTGTGGACACCATGATGTGTGGACACCATGATGTGTGGTCACCATGATGTGTGGACACCATGATGTGTGGTCACCATGATGTGTGGACACCATGATGTGTGGACACCATGATGTGTGGACACCATGATGTGTGGACACCATGATGTGCGGACACCATGATCTGCATGTGGGAGTGCTTGGTTGTATATGGCGTGAGTAACGCAATGTAAGGTAAGAAAGTTACGTATTTCATGCTGGTTATATTTTGTATATGCTAGTATGCTGGATATATTTTGTATATGCTGGTTATTCCAGCCCGAGCCGTGAGGAGGCAGTAGGCTGAAAAATGAGCAGTAGCCGCGTGCAGTTTATTTGACATAGACTTGATATAATATTAGTGTTGCTGGTTCGTAGTAGCCGAGGGTACTCTACCGTAGCCGAGGGTACTCTACCGTAGCCGAGGGTACTCTACCGTATATTATATATATATATATATATATATATATATATATATATATATATATATATATATATATATATATATATATATATATATATTTTATTCTATGTATTTTCCTGTAATAAATATTTGTCTGTTGACAACTGATTTTGCTCTTGTCATAGTGAGGATTCCTAGGTAGAGAGAGAGAGACAATTGTAGCTCATTTGGTAGTGGACGATAATATAATAAAGGGGGAATTAGGAGATCAGCCCAAAACAAGGAGAGAGTGTGAGGGAGTCACGGCGGCTCGACAGGGGTGTGCATCCCTGATCAATAGGCCAGATTGGAGCTGCTCCCCTAAGTAAAGGTGACGTTAACTCTTCTCCGAGTATAAGACGATGTCAAGGTGATCTTCTCATATGCTCTCCAGTGTCCATTACTGATTGGTTGACGGCAGAAACAATGTGGTTGAAGTGATTGATCTTATTCTATCAGGGAAGTGGCAGGGGACCCTGTTAGCTAGTGAGCAAGGCAAGGTTAAGTTCAGTATTAAGTTTATATAAAATCCCCAACTTATGTTAGCTGTTATCTCCCTTGACTTAGCCCCATCTCGGGCCTATCCCAGCGTGAGGCCACATCAGGCCTGGGGGCCACATCAGGCCTGGAACCACACCACGCCTGGAGGCCACATCAGGCCTGGTGCCACACCAGGCCTGGGGCCACACCAGGCCTGGGGCCACACCAGGCCTGGGGCCACACCAGGCCTGGGGCCACACCAGGCCTGGGGCCACACCAGGCCTGGGGCCACACCAGGCCTGGGGCCACACCAGGCCTGGGGCCACACCAGGCCTGGGGCCACACCAGGCCTGGGGCCACACCACGCCCCTCCTCCCTGGTAAACACTGCATGATATAATCTGATGTAATCCCTCTCCCTCGTCTGTAATCTTTTCCAGCCTAGCACTCCACCGGCAGGGTACAGCAGGGTCCAGGTACACACACACAGGGACCTGTAGGGTACAGCAGGGTCCAGGTACACACACACAGGGACCTGTAGGGTACAGCAGGGTCAGGTACACACACACAGGGACCTGTAGGGTACAGCAGGGTCAGGTACACACACACAGGGACCTGTAGGGTACAGCAGGGTCAGGTACACACACACAGGGACCTGTAGGGTACAGCAGGGTCAGGTACACACACACAAGGACCTGTAGGGTACAGCAGGGTCCAGGTACACACACACAGGGACCTGTAGGGTACAGCAGGGCCAGGTACACACACACAGGGACCTGTAGGGTACAGCAGGGTCAGGTACACACACACAGGGACCTGTAGGATACAGCAGGGTGAGGTACACACACACAGGGACCTGTAGGGTACAGCAGGGTCCAGGTACACACACACAGGGACCTGTAGGGTACAGCAGGGTCAGGTACACACACACAGGGACCTGTAGGGTACATCAGGGTCAGGTACACACACACAGGGACCTGTAGGATACAGCAGGGTGAGGTACACACACACAGGGACCTGTAGGGTACAGCAGGGTCAGGTACACACACACAGGGACCTGTAGGGTACAGCAGGGTCAGGTACACACACACAGGGACCTGTAAGGTACAGCAGGGTCAGGTACACACACACAGGGACCTGTAGGGTACAGCAGGGTCAGGTACACACACACAGGGACCTGTAGGGTACAGCAGGGTCAAGTACACACACACAGGGACCTGTAGGGTACAGCAGGGTCAGGTACACACACACACGGACCTGTAGGGTACAACAGGGGTGAGCTACACACACAGGGACCTGTAGGGTACAGCAGGGGTCAGGTACACACACACAGGGACCTGTAGGGTACAGCAGGGCCAGGTCAGGACACCCACACATCGAGTCACTGGTTCAAGGCCGTTCGAACTACACAAATAATGTTCGAAAACCTTTCAAGTGATGTACGAGAGCTTCAATTTAATTAAAATATCATACACATATTGAGCATTTCTAAAATAACAATAAATAATTGTCATTTCGTTTCATATCCAAAGGGATTGGTATGGATAGTTGGGAGGGGGGGGATAGGGATTGGAAATACAGGAGATACAGGATGAGGATGGGGGGGATGTGTCCAGCCATTACAGCACTGCACATATCTTCAACATATCCTGAAATGTCACACTGCTGTTTGAACAGATTTTCAAAATATGTTAAATAAATGCTACACATTTTTAAATCATGTATTTCAATAGTGTGGAAGTGTCTGTCTGTCGAAGGTTGGGGGGTTAGCTTCACACAACCTTGCAGGGGGAACCGTCTGTGGTGCGGGACTGACATAGGCTCCTGAAGGTCGTTTAAGGATTCAAGTAGGGGACAGCATGCCGTCGTCTCATTCTCAACCCCACCACGATTTTTTTGGAACTTCCATACAATCAGTTCATTTACGTCTGATTGACATAATGTCCCGTTTTCTGTTGGTGGGACACCTGATTGGTTAGATGTAGTCAGAGCAACACAAAACTGAGCTTCTTGACACCCCTCTCCTGGCCTCTTGACACCCGTGGCACCCCAGCCTCGCATGCTATCATCCTATCTACGGATGATAGCATGCGGTCAAAAATTGCCGTAATCCAAAATAGAAATTTATTTTCCAAATGAAATGGGCCCCCAGATAGCAAGTTAAGGATCCCCAGGCAGGTTAGGAGGGCAGGAAGTTCTCCTAAAGTTTCAACACGTCAGGGAAACTGTCAAATTGGAAGTTTGCTCTCCTAAGTTAACTAAGCCAGAGGACCCACAACAGAAAACGGGACAGTTGGTCACTTTCGCCAACCGCTTCCAGTTTCTAGTACGACATTTTTTTTTTAGCTTTAGTGAGGCATATGAGCGAATAGTGAAGTTGTTTGTTGAGGACGGGTTATAAGAGAAGTTTATAACGAAGTATATAACACAGGAAGTATATTACATACGAAGTATATACTCGTATGATCTCTATAACAGATCATATTCTGTCAAGCTTAAAAAGGCTTATTAGATAGGCCTATAGACAGGAGGGGGGATTGACTGAGAAGATTTGACGGTCGGGAACTAAAAAGGGGGACTTGACGGGTGAGGGACTTGACGAGTGAGGAACTTGACGGGTAAAGAACTTGACGGGTGAGGAACTTGACGGGTAAAGAACTTGACGGGTGAGGAACTTGACGGGTCAGGAACTTGATGGGTGAAGAACTTGGGTCAGGAACTTGACGGGTAAAGAACTTGACGGGTGAGGAACTTGACGGGTGAGGGACTTGACGGGTGAGAAACTTGACGGGTAAAGAACTTGACGGGTGAGGAACTTGACGGGTGAGGAACTTGACGGGTGAGGAACTTGACGGGTGAGGAACTTGACGGGTGAAGAACTTGACGGGTGAAGAACTTGACGGGTGAGGAACTTGACGGGTGAGGAACTTGACGGGTGAAGAACTTGACGGGTAAAGAACTTGACGGGTGAGGAACTTGACGGGTGAGGGACTTGACGGGTGAGGAACTTGACGGGTGAAGAACTTGACGGGTGAAGAACTTGACGGGTGAAGAACTTGACGGGTGAGGAACTTGACGGGTGAAGAACTTGACGGGTGAGGAACTTGACGGGTGAAGAACTTGACGGGTGAAGAACTTGACGGGTGAAGAACTTGACGGGTGAGGAACTTGACGGGTGAAGAACTTGACGGGTGAGGAACTTGACGGGTGAAGAACTTGACGGGTGAAGAACTTGACGGGTGAAGAACTTGACGGGTGAGGAACTTGATGGGTGAGGAACTTGACGGGTGAAGAACTTGACGGGTGAAGAACTTGACGGGTGAGGAACTTGATGGGTGAGGAACTTGACGGGTGAAGAACTTGACGGGTGAGGAACTTGACGGGTGAAGAACTTGACGGGTGAAGAACTTGACGGGTGAGGAACTTGACGGGTGAAGAACTTGACGGGTGAAGAACTTGACGGGTGAAGAACTTGATGGGTGAGGAACTTGACGGGTGAAGAACTAGGCTGTTTATAACAATAACAACAGTTGATTGGCAAGTTTTCATGCTTGTAAACTGTTTAATAAATGTAAACAAAGCCGTCAAAGATTGAGGAAAGATGTACAGATTCGTAAGTGCTTGCGTAACTGCTTCGTGAATCTGAATCCTTGTTGCCAGATGCGCGACTCCTACCTGCGTCTCTGTGTGAGTGATACATGTTAATTAATGCACCCATAGAACACCTTTTGAGAAGGTGAGAACTATTCTCAATGTCTCTGCGTCTCATCCTAGGATAGGATAGGTTAGGTTTGGATAGGTTGGACCAGCAAATCTCGTATGGGTTGTGTCATCCCCAAAATGGGGTCCACTACCACCCACAGGATGGGTATGGGGTCCCCTACCACCCACGGGATGGGTATGGGGTCCACTACCACCCACAGGATGGGTATGGGGTCCACTACCACCCACGGGATGGGTGTGGGGTCCACTACCACCCACGGGATGGGTATGGGGTCCACTACCACTGTGGGAACCGACCTGTGAGATTTATATTTATTTAATTTATATGAATTTATATTTACGTTAATTATATACTTCGATAGCAATTTGTATAATGATAAGTGGACTGTATTTCTGCAATAATCTCAATCTCACAAATCGATCCTCTACACATTAGGGGGGTTTATTAAATTTATATATGCAGCCAATCAAACTACAGTAATAGACTACATACATTGAAAAGGTTCCTTATCTTATAGTACAGCAGGTTAGTCCACCAGGTATAACTAGGGTGTAGACACCAAATTATCCTCTTTGAGGTAGCTTCCATCACCCAGTAACTGGTGCACAAAATCTTGCTTCCTCGTCTTGACCTGTCAAAAGGGCGCTAACTGTGAAGCCAGAAACCTATATATGACAAGTTATATCAGAGAAAACACTATACATGGAACAATAAAGACCTGGCTTAATTACCTTTAGTTTGAGGCGATTTCGCGTTCTAACCGGGTCACCCTACCCAATGACATTAATGGCCACTAATGATAGATAATGGGTTTCGGAAAGAACACTTAACTCGATTTGTAGACAGCGTGTTGGAGATGGTACACCTTTGGTTTCCATAACACTACGTCCAAGTAAAATTAACAGGAGCCGAATTTGCTCCCGTGAGCCTCTGGTCTAGTATCAACAATGGCTGCCCTTCTTCCTCACTGACGCCTGGCCTACATTGTCCAAATGTCAGAAAGTGATAGAAGGGTCACATTTAATGGGGTCCACTACCACCCACAGGATGGGTATGGGGTCCCCTACCACCCATGGGATGGGTATGGGGTCCACCACCACCCACGGGATGGGTATGGGGTCCACCACCACCCACAGGGTGGGTATGGGGCCCACCACCACCCACGGGATGGGTATGGGGTCCACCACCACCCACAGGATGGGTATGGGGGTCCACTACCACCCACGGGAAGGATATGGGGGTCCACCACCACCCACGGGATGGGTATGGGGGTCCACCACCACCCACGGGATGGGTATGGGGTCCACCACCACCCACGGGATGGGTATGGGGGTCCACCACCACCCACGGGATGGGTATGGGGTCCACCACCACCCACGGGATGGGTATGGGGGTCCACCACCGCCCTTAACCAATCCTCCCCGATTAAGGGACTAATCTATTAACGGAATATACACGTGTAATCACCCAAGAGGTGATTACCTCAAACCCTCTATGTACATCGTAAACTTTTCCTGCGCCACACGCGCGTGTGTGTAGTTGAGTGCGCTCTGAAATTGACGTAGGTGGCGGCGTGGAATTGTTTTGTTTACTTAAACTGGTAATTGGAACTTCTTGGCATACGATACGATATTGTGGTGCAGGAGGCGTGGCTTTAGCTTTCAAATTGTTGGTCTATAGCCAATCGTGGACCAGTAGGCCCTTGACGTCACCCACCAGAGCCAATCGTGGACCAGTAGGCCCATGACGTCACCCAGCAGAGAGCGGTGGGTGGCTGCTCATTGGTAGGTCGCCAGTGCCTCTCAGACCTCCAGCGAGGGAGGACCTCGGTGCTGCACATCTGTGTTAGTTATCCTACTCAATAAAGTCCTTGAAGTGAGCTACGGTCTGTATCTCTCTTCAACAACCACAATCATCAATCTTTACAATCATCAATCTTTACAATCCACAATGTTTACAATCATCAATGTTTACAATCATCAATGTTTACAATCATCAATGTTTACAATCATCAATGTTTACAATCGTCAGTGTTTATAATCGTCAATGTTTACAATCCTCAATGTTTACAATCCTCAATGTTTACAATCCTCAATGTTTACAATCCTCAATGTTTACAATCGTCAATGTTTACAATCGTCAATGTTTACAATCATCAATGCTTACAATCGTCAATGTTTACAATCCTCAATGTTTACAATCCTCAATGTTTACAATCGTCAATGTTTACAATCATCAATGTTTACAATCATCAATGTTTACAATTATCAATGTTTACAATCGTCAATGTTTACAATCGTCAATGTTTACAATCCTCAATGTTTACAATCCTCAATGTTTACAATCCTCAATGTTCACAATCGTCAATGTGGGATTGTTCTAAAGCCATTAATAAATCGTATGTAAAGATGATCTGATCTGGGATGCTCTCGGACGCAGGTTCGAATCCTCGTCACGGCCCTTGTGGATTTGTTCATAATCTGATCTGATCAGGAAGTGAACATGATCTCGCGTCTGATACATTAATAACCTGAGATAACTGATTATAACTTACCAAGTTATTATAAATAATAACTTGGTCTTCTGTTATACTGACGATTCACCAACAAAATAAGTTCTATAACACTGCCTAACCTTCCAAGTTAGGCCTATAGACCTGAGCAAAATTTCACTACTAAAGTCAGATATTTAAGTAAAGTAAGTAAAGTTTAAGTAAACTTAAGACAGTCTAGCCACTTTTCTGGATAGAACTCATCAGTGGCAGAGTTGATGTCAACAGGGGAGGGAGTGATGGTGTCTGTGCAACGGATTGAACGTCGAATCCGAATCCGGATTGCAATCTGCCTTCTGTTGGGCTAGATTCACGAAGCAGTTACGCAAGTATTTACAAACCTGGGGACAGTTTCACGAAGTAGTTACGCAAGTATTTACAAACCTGGGGCCAGATTCACGAAGTAGTTACGCCAGTACTTACGAACCAGGGGCCAGATTCACGAAGCAGTTAATCAAGCATTTACGAACCTGTACATCTTTTCTCAATCTTTGACGGCTTTGTTTACAATTATTAAACAGTTAATGAGCTCGGAAGCACCAGAAGGCTGTTTATAACAATAACAACAGTTGATTGGCAAGTTTTCATGCTTGTAAACTGTTTAATAAATGTAAACAAAGCCGTCAAAGATTGAGGAAAGATGCACACGTTCGTAAGTGCTCGCGTAACTGCTTCGTGAATCTGGCCCCAGGTTCGTAAGTGCTTGTGTAACTATTTCATGAATCTGGCCCCAGGTTCGTAAGTACTTGCGTAACAACTTCGTGAATCTGGCCCCAGGTTCGTAAGTACTTGCGTAACTACTTCGTAAATCTGGCCCCAGGTTCGTAAGTACTTGCGTAACAACTTCGTGAATCTGGCCCCAGGATCGTAAGTACTTGCGTAACAACTTCGTGAATCTGGCCCCAGGTTCGTAAGTACTGGCGTAACTACTTCGTGAATCTGGCCCCAGGTTCGTAAGTACTTGCGTAACAACTTCGTGAATCTGGCCCCAGGTTCGTAAGTACTTGCGTAACTACTTCGTCAATCTGGCCCCAGATTCGTAACTACTTCATGAATCTGTCCCCAGGTTCGTAAGTACTTCGTGAATCTGTCCCCAGGTTCGTAACTACTTCATGAATCTGACCCCAGGTTCGTAAGTACTTCGTGAATCTGTCCCCAGGTTCGTAAGTACTTGCGTAACTACTTCATGAATCTGACCCCAGGTTCGTAAGTACTTCGTGAATCTGTCCCCAGGTTCGTAACTACTTCATGAATCTGACCCCAGGTTCGTAAGTACTTCGTGAATCTGTCCCCAGGTTCGTAACTACTTCATGAATCTGACCCCAGGTTCGTAAGTACTTCGTGAATCTGGCCCCAGGTTCGTAAGTACTTCGTGAATCTGGCCCCAGGTTCGTAAGTACTTGCGTAACTACTTCATGAATCTGTCCCCAGGTTCGTAACTACTTCGTGAATCTGGCCCCTTGTGATCAACGCGTAGTTGACCAGCTGGCCGACAGATGGCGTCGCAGGAGAGGTATAGGGGAGGGGGAGGGGTAGAGTTCACCCTGACGACGGGGGGGGGAGGGGGGGGGACGGCGCTGGAATGGGGGGTGGCGGTGTGTGGGGGTGAAAGGTGAGGTGGGTGGGGGTGTGGGTGATGAGGGTGTGGGTGGGGCCCAGCAGTGACTCGCCTACACCAAGGGGGCCAAGTTTCTTGTAAGTTTCTGACGAGAAACAAGTTTCTTACGGGAGTGAAACTTGTAAGTTTCACCCCGCGCTGTTGGCCCGACTACCTTGACTCACCGGAGTTGAAACTGACCAGTTAACAGCTGGTGGAAGTAATGACGTCATTACCTTGCCCCCTCATAATAATGATGACGTCACGTGAGTAGAATAGTGACCTTGTCATGTCACTGTCATGTCACTGTCATGTCACTGTCATGTCACTGTCATGTCACTGTCATGTCACTGTCATGTCACTGTCATGTCACTGTCATGACACTGTCATGTCACTGTCATGTCACTGCCATGTCACTGTCATGTCACTGTCATGTCACTGTCATGTCACTGTCATGACACATTAACTTGACAGACACAGTGCTCACGAAAGGATAAATGATGTCTCACAAAATGAGGCAAATAATAATATATTGTAATTCTTTACCCAGGTAACAGATGGTGACCCGGCATCACCCGGTCGTCGACCAGGCCTCCTGGTTGCTGGACTGATCAACCAGGCTGTTAGACGCGGCTG